TACTAGGGGCTCCTGGCCTTACTACTAGGAACAAGGACGCTACTAGGAACAAGAAGCTGAGTCGTGACTGAGTCTGACAAAAAAAGAAAGGGTGCTTGCTTTTGCTGTCAAGAAGACTCTAATAGAATCTGACTCTATACAATTCTTTACCGAACATGATGAGACCTTGGGTTTGTCACTGTCTCTTGTGACTTCAAAAAAAGAACAAAGCTTCTCACTGTCTCTGATGTCTTGTTTCAAAACTGGCCACAACCGCTCCGCAGGTCGACTGAGAGGAGCATATTGGCCCCGCAGTACAGCGGCAATCACATCCTAGTGGCCCGTCAAGGGTTTGGGTATGTCCGGGTTTCATGACTCAAGAACAAAACTTTCTGGTTGAAACGAATGAAAAAAAAGAAACTTGAAGATAATATTGAAATACGCTACTAGGAACAAGAAGCTACTAGGGGCTCCTGGCCGTACTATTAGGAGCGATCGGACGCTACGAACGGGGCCTTTTCGTTTGGTCCTGGAGACTTGGGCCTTTGAAGGGTAACTCCAAGGAGAGGAGTTCGTAAAGCACCACGCCCAAAGACCAAAGATCCGTGGAATGCGAATAAGGACGTCCTCGAGATGAACAAGGCTTTTTGACAAGGGCTCTTTTTTGGTAAGGTCCTTTTCATCTCTTCTGAGGCAAGAGAAATCAAGAAGCATGCAGTGAAACTCAGAACTCACAAGCATAGGGAGATTTGCATCGTTCTCGCTGGTTCAAATGTCAACCTGCAAGATTTCCGTGCCTTCAATGATTTCCGGAGAAAAATACCTGAGCTGCAGATGTGATCGTCCACGTCCACTTTTCTCCTTTGAGAAAAGAAAGAGTAAAAAAGAAACTTAATAGCCATGGCCTCCAACCTAGAAGCGATGGCCTCTAACAGAGTAACAACATAAATGTCTGAGGGCAGAACAAGGGTGTTCCATAGAAAGAGTGCAAGCAAAGGGTCTTCTCCGACATCTGCCGCGACACGCCGAAGTCACCCAATTTGATGACACCTGGAGGGCGACAAGTTGGAAGGGGCCAAAGTGGCCAATGAACTTGCAGCATCGCTACTAGAAGCAAAGGGCATCGCTACTAGGGGCATCGCTACTAGGGGCTCCTGGCCGTACTACTAGGAGCAATGTTCGCTACTAGGAACCAAATAGGTAGTTTCATGAGGTCAAACACATGTTTGACAATACTAGGAGCAATTGCCATCGCCTTCGTCTGTTAGGAAGAGGTTCATAGACTTGATGTCCTTAGCAGTTGAGCGGATACCGGAGCACATGATTTCTTTTTGTCTCTTACCATGTTTACCGTTTTCTTACTAACTAACTAGAAGCTATTAGGAACAAGAAGCTACTAGGGGCTCCTGGCCTTACTACTAGGAACAAGAAGCTACTAGTAACAGGGACGCTAGTAGGTTGGAGGCCATCGTACTACTAGGAGCAATGTTTTCTTACAGTTTGCTATTAGTCTTAACGCTACTAGGAGCAAAGGGCATCGCTACTAGGAGACACGTCTTCTTCTCACTACTTGACGTCTCCGAGCCCCGACCCCGACCCGCTGTGCAGCTGGGACTCCCTATGGACAATGCCTCGGTCATGGATGTGTCGCAAACCCAGCAGCACCTGGGGACGAAGATTACACCCAGTCGTTGGGCCAAGACACACAAAGCTGCTATCCACAGACTCTGGCACCTGGGCCAAGATATCCCAAACCTCTTCGTCCCCAAAATGTTTTCCCAGGCGACGGCGGCTCCTGGGTAGTCAGCGAAGACTCCGAACTGGTGAAAAAACCAAGCCGGAGCCGAACCGCGCTGAGTGTCTGCAATTCAGAGTGTAGATCGCCGCGATTAGCATATTCCAAAACTATATACCTCAGTGCCACATGTACAAGCGAGTCTCTCTCGTTATACACAAACAGGGAACAGTCTCGCCTAGCAGGCGTGGCAAAAATGCTGCGTGCAGTTTCTCTTCCAAGCAGCAACGACTGAGATGGAAAATCCCAAAAGTATCCATGGCAGCGGATGATGTTTGGATGGTTCAGCTTCTTCATCACCTTAGGAACAAGAAGCTAGTAGTAGCACAAAGGGCATTTCTACTAGTAGCAAGGACGCTACTAGTAACAAAGGGCATCGCTACTAGGAACAAGTGCCTTACTAGCAGTAACAAGAAGCTATTAGAAACAAGGGCCATACTACTAGGAGCAAAGGACGCTACTAGTAACAAAGGGCATCGCTACTAGGAACAAGAAGCTATTAGCTTATTGTTCCTAGCAGCTTCTTGTTACTACTAGTAAGGCACTTGTTACTACTAGCGATGCACTTGTTACTAGTAGCGAACAAGAAGCTACTAGTAGCCCAGTGGGACCCGAATGGTTTCGGCGGCCCCTCCTCATACTCGTTGAGCATATCTTTAGCTTTGCCCAGCTCTGGCACCTGTCCAAAAATGACTCCGGTGATGGTACCGAATTCCTGGTGCAAACAAATTTAGAATTTGAAAAAAAAAAAACTATAAGCAAACAACCAGAAGGAAAAAGACATGCAAGAAGTTAAGGGCCCCTTTAATGAGTCCTTTAAAGATGTCGTGTGAAAGGCGCCCTTCATATCCCTGAATTGGCATCCGCTTGATTCATCTCCATGTCTACGACTAAACGACATACCCAGCATACCCTTTGTTTTCGGGTTTCAGCTGCGGAGGGTCAGACTGCACTCGACTGCAACTTTCACCAGTCCTTCCTAGATCGTCTCGCTGTCCCGGCTCCAATACCTTCCGGCGCTTCAAGACCACCACGTCGACTCCACCAGTGGCTTTAGCCAAATGGACAGATCCACTGACATTACTTTGCAGATCTTTGATGATCTGGAACTGCCTCAGTTGCACAAGTTAGGCTCTTCGTGGCAACAGGCCAGTACTTCTGAGTGCACAAGGAAATCGTAGGATATTGCCTCCTTCTTCAGTCTTGTAAGCAAAGCCAAGGTCACTCTCGATGATTGAATTCTCCCACGCTTGATGGACGCCCTTGCAACTTCTCCTTCGCGTACCTTGGCGAGGTTGTGGAGCTAGGAAGGTGGCACCGGGAGGCGGGAGGAGTGCCGAATGGTATGTGGAGAACATCGAATGCCGACCCTCCCAACATGTCGACTGTATTTCTCAATCGACATGTGTCGAGGTCAAGTGATACACGCATCTTCTTGGCCCCGTGCAGCGCTGGAACATGCGCCTCGCAAAATTGCATCTCAGTCTAAAGTAGTCCAAAGTAGTCTAAAGTAGTAGTAATGCCCTGGTTACTAGTAGCGATGCCCTTGTTACTACTAGTAGCGCTGCACCTGTTACAAGTCAAAAGTGGTCAAGAGGCCTCCAAATCCACCTCAAACATCACCAAAACGCTCTAGTTTAGGCATGGTCCACTGCCTGCCGCCGCTGCTCCCAGCGCTCGTCACGGCGAGCAACAGGTGGCTTTATTGCCTCCACCACAGCACCTGGCCAAGCAACAGCCCAAGATCCCAACTTGCCAAGTACTTTGGATGTAAGCATATACAAAAAAATATTCATTGTCACATCCTTTCTCATACTTCATATTTGGGAAGGTTGGCGAAAGAAAAAAAATGAACATATGTCTCTCGGACTGTCGATGTCCAAACTCGCAACAAGGGCATTACGACTAGTAACAAGTGCATCTCTCCGAGTTGCACTTCAAGTCATGCCTTCGCCACTTCAATACTGTGGTCATAGTTGATGCGGTTGTGGCGACCGATCATCTAGAAATCTGTCTAGAAACCGACTCTTTAACTGAGAATCTATAAGGTTCACTGCCTTCACAATAAAAAAACTGGTGAATGCGTCAGCCGTCAGCCCAAAGATTTGCCTCCACCTGCTGCTGGTGGTGGCTTCGAGCGAACCTGCAGCTGCAACGGCTTATGATGGATGTTTGATGTATGGCCTCCAACGTAGAAGCGATGGCCTCCAACCTAATAGCCATAAGGAACCTAGTAGCAATGGCCTCCAACCTAAAAGCAATGGTCTCCAACCTACTAGCGATGGCTTCCAACGGCTTATAATTGATGTTTGATGTTACCACAAAACCTCTGCAATCGAACCCTGTAGGGCCGGTGGGCGGAAGCCTTAAAACATGAACGGGTTCCCCGTGTTGCTCCAGCATCCTTGCTCCTTGTAGCGATGCCAGGAGCCCCTAGTAGCTTCTTGCTCCTAGTAGTAAGGCCAGGAGCTCCTAGTAGCGTCCTTGTTACTAGGACACGGGAAGGTCAGGCAGTTGCTTTATTCTTTGTAATTCTCTTAGACAAAAAGTCATGATGCGATGTGCAAGGATTCAGAATGCACCAGCTTTCAAGCCCAATCGTTGTGATGTCGGAGAGGTCTCAATACGACGGTCATCAATTTGACTTGCGCATTTGCAATACTGTACACGCTGTTTTGGTGCCATGTTCTGGAGTGTGACACGATGTGGCAGCGTGGATTCTGAGCTGTTGAAGAGTAGTTGTTCTTGAAATGCTGCCAGTGCTGCGAGACATAGGAGCAAGAACGCTACTAGGGGCTCCTGGCCTTACTATTAGGAGCAAGAAGCTATTAGTAGCAAGGACGCTAGTAGGTTGGAGGCCACATAGTCTTTGGCTTCTTGGGGAAGAAGTGCTTCACCGGTTCACCTGCCGCCCTCATAGGCCCGATGTTGGCCACAAAGAATTAGAATGATCTAGGTTTTGCCGGATGCTAAGGTCATAACTCATAAGTCTGGTCATATTGTGCTGAAGGACCTATGTTCAAATCAGTATCAAACGAAGAGTTGAGATGGTGGAAAGCATGGTGGAGCAAGTAGCCAATACAAACCATAGTCAGGAAATCACAAGCACAGCGGCAAAGACCCACAATCCATCCTTTTGTCTCTTGAAATCCAAAGCTGATGCAAAAGCGTCGTGATTGGCGCAGCCATCGCTGAAAGCGAAGCATCATAAGCGCAAAAAAAGGGCACCACCATGGGCCGTGGTTCGGCGGCAGTGGACCAAGCTGTAAGCGAAGCAACATAGAAGCAAAGTGACATAGAAGCAAATGTGTATGGCAAAGAAATTAGTAAATTAGGACAACATTAGAAACAAAACGAAACCTAATAGCGATGGCCTCCAACCTTGTAGCATTGCATATCATTGTGCATAGCCTTGCATAGCGGCATAAAGTGGAGCATAGCCCGTTGTGAGGGCATCACTCACAGATATCCGATGGATACTTTGTGCTGCCCAAAAACGTGTTCACTGGCGCGAAGACTTGTGTCTGAATCCGGAGCTTCACTTCAATATCGCCAAATGCGTATTACAGGGTGACGAACTGCGCAGGATATGCGCGTGAAGGCTTCTATATATGGTCGGATTCTTTGGGAACTGCCCATTGAAAGCCAGTCTGAAAACTCGACCACCTTACCAACTCTAAAAGGCACTGGGAGCTGTCACACCCTTCGCAAACTCCTGGCCTGCCCGTGCGGCGCAGAGCTCGGTCGCCGGCGGACCCTCACCACCTCGCCGAAAAGTTTCTCTCAAATCAAACCCTTCATATTCAACACCACAAAATGAGAAATGGCCTTCGACCTGATAGCGATGCCATCCAACCAAATACCGATGGCCTCCAACCTAATGGCAATGGCCTCCAACCTACTAGCGATGGCCTCCGACCTCATAGCGATGGCCTCTAACCTCATAGCGATGGCCTCCAACCTCATAGGGATGGCCTCCAACCTACTAGCGATGGCCTCTAACCTCATAGCGATGGCCTCCAACCTCATATAGGGATGGCCTCCGACCTCATAGCGATGGCCTCCAACCTCATAGCGATGGCCTCCAACCTCATATAGGGATGGCCTCCAACCTACTAGCGATGGCCTCCAACCTCATAGGGATGGCCTCCAACCTCATAGCGATGGCCTCCGACCTCATAGCGATGGCCTCGAACCTCATAGCGATGGCCTCCAACCTCATAGGGATGGCCTCCAACCTACTAGCGATGGCCTCTAACCTCATAGCGATGGCCTCCAACCTCATATAGGGATGGCCTCCGACCTCATAGCGATGGCCTCCAACCTCATAGCGATGGCCTCCAACCTCATAGGGATGGCCTCCAACCTACTAGCGATGGCCTCCGACCTCATAGCGATGGCCTCAAACCTCATAGCGATGGCCTCCAACCTCATAGGGATGGCCTCCAACCTCATAGCGATGGCCTCCGACCTCATAGCGATGGCCTCCAACCTCATATAGGGATGGCCTCCGACCTCATAGCGATGGCCTCCAACCTACTAGCGATGGCCTCCAACCTCATATAGGGATGGCCTCCGACCTCATAGCGATGGCCTCCAACCTCATAGCGATGG